ATTCATTAATGATATTGGTCTGTAATTTTCTTTCTTTGTTGGGTCTTTTTATGGTTTGGGTATCAAGGTGATGTTTGCTTCATAGAATGGATTGAGTAGTATTCCATATTTTTCTATATTTTGGAAAAGGATGAGTAATATAGGTACTAGTTCCTCTTTAAAGGTTTGGTAGAATTCTGATGTGAAGCCATATGGTCCTGGGCTCTTCTTCTAAGGGAGATTTTGTATAGTTGATGCTATTTCAGAACGTGATATAGGCCTGTTTAGCAGTTCCACTTGATTCTGGCTAAGTCTTGGAAGGTGGCATGCTTCCAAGTATTGGTCTATTTCCTTCAGATTTTTATATCTCTGAGAATAAAGTTTCTTGTAATATTCATTAAGGATTGTTTGAATTTCTAAAGTGTCTGTAGTTATTTTGTCTTTACCATTTCTGATTGATGAAATTAATGATTTTAATCTTTTTTTCTTGGTTAGGTTGGCCAAAGGGTTATCTATCATATGGACCTTTTCAAAAAACCAACTTTTTGATTTATTGATCTGTTGTATAATCCTTTTGTTTTCAATTTCATTTAATTCTGCTCTAATTTTGGTTCTTTCTTTTCTTCTGCTGGGTTTTGGATTAGAGTGTTCTTCCTTACTTGCTTGAGGTGTCCCATTAAGTTGTTAACTGCCTCTCTTTCCGTTTTCTTGAGAAAGGCTTACGGTGCTATACATTTTCCTCTTAGGACTGCCTTTGCAGTATCCCAGAGGTTCTGGTAACTAGTATCTTCATTATCATTTTGTTCCAAAAATTTGATAATTTGTTTCTTGATCTTGTCTCTGACCCACCTATCATTCAGCATAAGGTTATTTAGCTTCCATGTTTTTGTATGAATTTGCAGATTCCTGTTGTTACTGAGTTCAACTTTTATTTCATGATGGTCTGAGAAGATGCAAGGAATAATTTCTATTCTTTTAAATTTGCTGAGGTTAGACTTGTGACCTAAAATGTGGTAGATTTTGGAGTGTGTTCCATGGGCCGATAAGGAAAACATGTATTCAGTTTTGTTAGGATGAAATGTTTTGTAGATGTCCTTTAAATCCAAATGTTGAATGGTTAAGTTTAAATCTAGAACTTCTTTGCTAAGCTTCTTGTTGGAGGATCTATCCAACATTGCCAAAGGAGTATTAAAATCTCCAACTATGATGGAGCTGGGATAAATCAAGTTGCTCATGTCTATTAGAGGATCTCTTATAAATTGAGGTGCATTCTGGTTGGGTGCGTAAATATTGATGATTGAAATCTCATCATATTGACTATTACCCTTAACAAATATAAAGTGTCCATCTTTATCCTTGCTTACTTTTGTTGGTTTAAAACTATTGTATCTATGAATAAAATTGCAACAAGTGCTTTTTTGTGCTTTCCATTTCCCTGGAATATACATGACCATTTCTTTACCCTGAGTCTATATTAGTCTTTTAGGGTAAGATGGGATTCTTGTATGTAGCAGATATCTGGTCTGAGTTTTTGGATCCAGTCAACCAGCCTGTGCCTCCTTAGAGGGCAGTTTAAGCCATTCACATTTATTGCAAATATTGATAAACCTGGTATAATTTGGAGTATCGAGTTTTTCAAAAGTCTAGTGGACATCTTTAATCCTTTGTCCACTGTGGAAGTTGGAATTTGATCAAAATTTTCTGTGTGAGTTTACCTATGTAGTAGAGGATTGCACTGCTCATTGTGGAGGATAGGTCTGAAAATATCCTGGAGGGCTGGTTTAGTTATAGTAAATTTCTTCATCGTGTAAATGTCATTAAAGTATTTAATTTCTCCATTATAATTCAAACTCAGTTTAGCTCTAGACAGGATCCTGGGTTGAAAGTTATTTTGTTTTAGGTAATTATAAATCAATGACCACCCTCTTCTAGCCTGAAATTTTTCAGCAAAGAGATCTGAAGTCATTCTAGTATTCTTCCCCTTATAGGTTATGATTTTCTTAAGTCTAGCTGCTTTCAGAATTTTCTCTTTCATATTAACTTTAGTGAAGTTAATTATGATGTGTCTGGGGGATATCTTGTTTGGTTTGTGTCATTCTGGGGTTCTGAAACTGTATGTTATATGAATTTCAGACTCTCTTGGCATGTCTGGAAAGTTCTCTTTCATAATTTCATGAAGTAGAGCCTCTGTGCTTTGTGAAGCCACTTTGTCGCCTTCAAGGATTTGTATAAGACCAGTATTAGTTTTCTTCAAATTATCCCAGAGCTCTCAGAGAGTAATCTGTTTTTGCTCTCCATTTCTCTTCATCCCTGTGTGCTTGGGCATATTCAGAAGATTTTTCTTCTAAGTCAAATATCCTTTCTTCTGCCTTCTCCATTCTGTTACTGAAGGATTCTACCATATTTTTCAGATCTTTGAGGGCTGCAACCTCTTGCCTCATTGTTTCAAAATCTTTGGTCATTTTTTCTTTGAAATCATTGAATTCTTGAGACATCTTTTGAATAATTTCTTGAGATATGTTTTGAATAGTTTCTTGAATTTCTAATTCCCTTCCTTCTTCCAATCTGTCAATCTTATTTTCTATCCAAATTCTGAACTCAATTCCTGACATCTCAACCACCTTTTTATCAATGGGATCTTCAATTGCATCTACCTGATCACTCCTTGGAGGAGTTGAAATAATCTGGTTATTCAAATTATCAGAGTTTTCCCACTGATTCTGCCCCATGCTGAAGTTACACAGTGTGGAGACGGTACCAGAACTGTTCATTCAGTGGCCTCCATTGGAG